GGTGCCTCGGCCCCCAGCCTTCTTACCTTCTGGCTCTGCCGGTCAGCCTGTCCTTCCCTCTGGCCCGGCTGCTCACAGCGGCCACCGCTCTGGGAGCAGGATCGCTCACGTTCACGCTGTGCTGTCCTCCACCTACAAGTCAGGTCGGAAAGGCCATGGTCTGCTGCAGGGGCCAGCATCCCGCTGGAAAGTACCCTTGGAGGGGGAGCTATCAGAAGCTGTAGGAATACTGTGTATTTTCTACAGCGGTAAATATAAAGGGAAAATTTAAGGGTGCTTAATCTGCATTTTTGATTCTGAATTCAAGTTATAGTCATTGCTCCCACTCCTTGGCTGCTGCCTCCCCTGTGATGCTCACGAGAGGATTGGGCCAGAGTGGCACAAGTGAATTCAGAGTTCGGTTGAGCTGGTCGGCTTGAGGCCAGTTGATTTGACATCTTATAGCATGTGTCCCTAAAAGGCACTTCCTCCAATTTGAGTAGACAGGAGAAAGTTGTCCATGTGAGCAAACATGGGGGTCGCTGACAAGTAGCAGGGGGATGCGGCAGTCCTGTGGTTTACTCACCTCTTCCTTCGTGAGGAAAGGCCCTGTGCTGGAATTTCCTCGCATTTCTTCCCCCTGGAAGGACAAAGCAGAGCACACATGGAAGTGAGTGGCCTTCAGCAGTGGGTGTGCAGCAGAGAGCCTGGCATTCAAACGGGGCGCCACAAGGGAAAGCTTTGTTGTGCCAGTCCATCTCCTGAGAAACAGGAGTCGTAACGGACTTTGAGTAAAGAAGCCAGCACATGCCACAGGGATCAGAGATGATGTGCTCTGGAATAGGATTGCCTCTCAAACCAGCGTTTGGGAAAGGAGGCAGGGCTGAGCCTCCGTGCTACGCTCTACGAGGTTACCCAGCCCGTGCCGCTGCTCTCCCTGCAAAGGTCAGAAGCACTAGCACCCGTTAGGCTCAAATCCCATCCCCTGAGCACTCTGCAAAGCAGGGAGGGCTGAGGCGCTGCGCTTGGAGGCGCTGGCCCGGGAACAGCAGAGTTGTGCAGCTGACGGCCACGGCAGCTGCCGCGGCACTGGGGTTCGCCCCACCAGCCATCGCTAGCGTCAGGACAGAATCTAGGCGTCCCTTGCCAACCTTTCTTATTGCTGGGATTATCCAAGGCTGGCTCCCCATCCTTAACAAAGTCCTCTTCAAACCTGCAGGTTAAAAACAGGCATTGTCAGACCTGATCGTTCTCCTCCAGCGTGCAAAAGTGTGGGCTGGAGGGCTCGAGACGCTGCAGGCTCCAGCCATCGGCTCTCCTGCGCCTGCTCACAGGCAAGCGCGCGTGCGGGTTTATCAGCAGGAGCTGAAACCACATGCACTGACCAGGGGAAATGAGGCTGCGAGGCAATTCTACCCCAAAGGAGAACATCTAAAACCTTTGCATCAATACCCACCTTAATATTATTGTTATTATTTTATTCTATGAATATCTATGAAGCCCACAGACGCCTGTAGTGCAACAAGCTCTAAACGCAACCTGAAGTAGCTTCAGGGCTTCTCATCTCAGATCAGATCTAACCCTGTTTGCTCATATTATTGCCCTTCTCTTTGAGAAGGGGGCAGTAGGGTTTGGACTTGTCTCGCCAGTGGCGCTCAGCACCCACTGATGTCAATTTGCCTCCAATTATTGGGGTCTCAGTGACTAAAAATCTCTGAATTTAGTTTCATCCCTCTGCCAAAAGATTCTCCCACCCATCTGCCCTGTACAAAGTCTTTTAGCCAGAGGGTCTTATCAGCAAATGTAGGTAATGTCCTCCACACCCTATAAAAACCCTATCCTGACGTAGGCACTGAGCCACCCTCCAAAGCTCCCTGGCCAGTGTCACCCAAATGGAGACGTATGGCTAAAAGGACAGCATTTAACGTAGGGTGGTGTCAGACCCCATGGCAAGCTCACCCGTGTCACTGTCCCCAGTATTTCCCATGTGTTGTAAAGGCTGATCTCTGAAGTGACCCTCTAGCACTGCAGGGCCCCAAAGGGCTCACTCTGTGAGATCAGGAAGATCCAGCTAAGCTGGCCCTGCCTGGAGCTTGTCCATGTGGACTTGAGGGCCCTCCAAGCACAGACACGGCGCCGGTTCGTGGTCCCCTCCCTTGTTCCCTCCGAGTGCCCCTAGAACCAAAAGCAGGCAGTCCTAGCCAGCCCAAAAGAACTCCTGTCGGGATGGGAGAACTCCTGTTAGAAAGAACTGTCGAGGATATCTGGTCCCACTGAGAAATATGGTCAGGAGCAGAGGGAGACGGTGATACAGGTTTGGTTGGGAGAGGCAGATGACAGCGTGGGGTTCGGTCAGCGTCGCACATCTGCTCGTTCAGTTGTCCTACTGCAGGCAAACCACCCCAGGGTGGCGCAGGACCTACATGTGCTCTGACTTCTCCACATCCCAAGCCCGTCGCCACTCGCCCTTGGCGTTCTTGTGACGTGCCAGTCGCTCCAGGTCGATCTGGTCTCGCTCCCTCTTCCAGCGCATATACTCCGAGCGCTCCCGTCCGGTCATGGGGAAACTCAGGTCTCCAGGGCCTTTCTGGGCTGACTTCCCACCCTCCTAACAGGGACAAAAGAGCAGTTTGTTGATGCAGTGGCACTGCACGGAAAATGCCTGCGCTTGCTGTACTTTGTGCTGTCACCACCAGAAATGCTCAGTAATAGTCAAAGTCACCTTGGAGCAAGGCTGGGTTCTCGCTCTGTGAAACGACGCGCACGCGGAAGGGCTCTACTTTACCCACAGCCAAAACATGCTGTCCCAGTGCTGATGACTTTTTTTTTTTTTTTTGGATTTCACAGGGACAGAAACTTGAGGAAGGAAGAAGCTATATGATTAGCTTGGAGCTGTATCGTAAGTCCATGACCAAGTCAGAAGTAGCAACCATTCCCTTCCAGAGATATACAAAAATGATAACAGCTACCAGTGGCAATGTGTTTTGGTATAGTTGTCCCACTTCTCCTAGACTAACACAGACAGTCTAGGATTTCACTACTCATTTCATGCATTTCCTTTCTCATGCTTAAAATTCCTCCCACTTAAAATCCTTGATTTTGCCATCTGGATAGATTGCTGTTGCCTCAATGAGCTGAGGTCTTGCCTCTATTTCTGTGGCCTGAGCTGCAATGTTTCCTTGGTTCCTGCAACAGGAAATACCTGGCTTGTGTTCCCCTGCTCTACTCTGGGGGGGCTCAGCCAAGCATCCATGTTTAGGAGCCCATTTGCATCCTCCTAATGAACCGCCCTGGGATGGGACTATTCAATTTGTGCTCCGTTAATTAAAAGTGTCTCCGGGCTCAGGGGAGCCAGCAGGTTCTCCAGGGTTTGCATTAAATAGTCAGCATGAAGGCTCAGGCTTAAATTTACCTCCATCCTACCCAGCTTCTGCTCATACAACCTGACCCTTTCAACCCACGAGCAAATGTTCCAGGGTGGGAATGCAGCTAAGGCTGTGCCATTTGCCACGTGAGCGAGTGTATTTCTTGACATCCCTACTGCTGGGCCGGGGGTTTAAGGAGCCACAACAAGGCATGAAGGGCAGGCACACGCTGCCAAGGCTCTTTCCTGCCCTGCTTTCCTTCAGTTGCTCAGCAAAGCCTCGGAGAAGACCCACGCACCAATCACACAGTGGTAATTAGCCTCTTTCAATTAGACAAGATCCCCCCAGCAACTAAGCAGCCAATGTCCCCCTTGAACTTTGGGGTAGTTACCCCTCTGACACCCATGCTGCCCGCAGGGTGAGGTGGCCCTGTCCCCTGTGCTGTCCCCCGCTAGGACGTCGGCCCTGCTCACCTTCCGGCCATGGTCGCTTTCTGGAGCCCTGTCGCTCTCCGATCTCCTCTTCTCTGCTGTTCTCCGCTCCTCCGCCTGCAAGGGAGTAGCCACAGGAATTATTTCAAGGACTAAGCGAGTGCTGGGGAGCTGCTGCCCACCCTATGTCCCATCAGGAGCTGCAAGAGCTGCCCAGGAGCAGTCAGCAAGAGAGGGAGAGGAGACATTGGTTCCCAGGGGCCTGAGTCAAAATTATATGGAAAAGAAAGAGGTGCATTCCCCAAAGTCCCTCCACGTCCACAACCAGAGGGAGAGCTGGTGTGTAGCTGTCTCCTTGGCTTCAAAGGCAGCTGGAGGTTTAAGCACTTGGTAGATGTGGGCCAAAGGCACAGCTTGCAATTCAGCTATACAGCAGCTTAGCCACCCCTAAAGGCAGGAGGGATTTTTGTCCCTGTATCATACTATAAACAGCATGCGGTTCCAGCAGGCTCCATCCTCCCTTTCGCCAGCTTTAGCTGCGCTGCAACCGCATGGGCAGCACCTGCTCGAGCGCTGATATCCCCCTGCCTGGCAGAAGGTGAAAATTAGCCTCTCTCTCCCTCTTACCGAGCTACAGATGCTAAATAAGAGGCACACAACAGCCCAGGAAGATCTCGACCCCTGCGTGGGACTGCAGATGCTGCCAGGGACGCAGCCCTGGGCTAAGGTGCTAGCGGGTCTCAGCAAATCGCACTCCACAGCCCACCAAGGTTTTCCGAGCGGCTTTCTGCCTCCGTCAAGGAACCTCATGGAGAGGGTGGGCTCCCTGCTGCATTGCCAGCGTACGAGCCGCTGCTGACGGCGCGTGTGCTGCGGGTGCAGGGGCACGCGCGCGGCGCCGGGCTTATCGAGGCCCCGGTTTTGCACAGCCAGGCAGAACTGAAGCACAAAGTGGAAACAGCGCAAAAGCCGCCAGCTCAGCCGTTCGAGAAAGCGTGAGCACTGCGTGGTCTGAGCCGAGCTGGCGAGAGGGCTTTTTCCTTTCTGCTCTTTGCCAACCCTTGATTTAGGGTGCTGGAGACTCAGGAGCCCGGCCTAGAGGCAGCCCCTGGCTCCCAGGGTGCTGGAGCTGCCCTGCACACACGGGCCAGCTGTGGTTTGGAGCATCTCTCCGTATGGCAGCATGCAAGGGTTTGGGGCCGTGCACTTCTGCTAAACCCTCGTGGGAGGGATGAGCATGCAGCTCAGGGCAGCCGCGCTCGGCGGTGGGCACAGGTGGACGCTCGTGTAAGCGGATGCTGGGACGTGACCCAGGTATCCATTCAATGGAGTGTCTGGGAATACTTCTAAACTCAAAAATATTCCAGGCTCAGAGTCAACTCCTTCGTAAAGCTCAGTCTGAAGAGCTGGGGATGCAACTGGGCTCTGCAGCCCTGAAGTGAAGCCTTGTGTTTATAGGAAGATTAAAATGGCAGAAACTTGGCTTATTTGGGTGGAAAGTTATTTGGGCTTATTTGGGGACCAAGGTGCAGATGGATGTTCAGCTTTGGGACCAGCTCTAAGAGCAAATGGTTTTCGGAAGAAGCCAGCGGAAGAGCTGGAGCCAATGGGTCCCCATGGGGAAGGGCTTGCTTGCCAGGAGAGGAGGAGCACGGGCGGCCTAGGAAATGCCAGAGACAGCTTCAAACTACTGTGGAAACTGAGGCTGGGAGCCACGAGCCCGTGCTTTGACGCACACTGCGTGTCCCCAGGACACCAAGCAACTCTCCATCCTTCTATAGGCCTGCGGGCAAAGCCAGGCTGCCCTTCTCCCTCAGCCTGTTTCTATTCTGGGGACATGTTGCAAACAGAGAGATCCGAAAAAAACAAAAGAGAAAGAAATCTGGTTCTCTTCAGCAGGGAAGCAGGTTGGAGCTGTGCACTTAGGAAAACACAGTTAGCTGTGCTGTTGTGCTGGCGCAAGAGCAGATTTTTCTCGTTTGCGCCGCGTTGCCCCGGATTTGCTGTTCATCAGTTACGACACACCCAGACCACAGGGAGGCAAAACATGTTTTTCTCCTCCTTCTTCCTCTCCACCCCCAAAATTATGAAAGATGACAAGTGGCATTTGTCATCCAGCCCTTCAGCTCTTCCTGCTCATCAAGGGAAGGAATCGGAGGAGGGAGCAAAAGCCCAAAGGAGATTGGGACAGGCGCATTTGCTTATCCTGAGCTTTACGTGAGGCTTTCTCTTCTCCTCAGCCGTATGACAGACTTGGATGTAGCTCTGGGATCTCAGCTGCCTGCTGACACTAAGTGGGGCCAAGCTCTGCATGCACCCGGCTCCCGTTAACGTGTAGGGGTGACAGCGCTGACGCCGTGTCCAGATGTGTTAGCAAGCCATGGACCCACATTCCTCCAAGCCAAACATGTTGACAGGCTTCAAGGTCTCTGGGCTTTATCGCTGTCTTCTTGCTCTAAAAATAAGGGCCAACAGATGCATTTAATCAACCATCCGGTACCCACCTCCCTGAGCGCGTGTGGGTACCAGCATCCGCTCTCCTTTTGCACGGGAGCTTTTCCAAGGAGCCTGGAGCTGCTTTGCCCCATGCTCAGCCCTCCCACGGGGCAGGATTTTTTAAAATCTCACTCGGTGCAGAAGATGATTTTTTTTCCCCCAAGTCTTTTAAAACATCTGCCTGGCTGGTGCACCTGAAGTGAGCTGAGGGCTTTTCGGGCACCCTCTCTGCCTCTCTCCCACTCCCATTGGCCAAGTGTTTCTCCTGCCACAGGGAGTTGGCTTTCCCTCCCATCCGTGTCCATCCAGGGCAGCTTTTGGCAGCTTTTGTGCCTCTGCCCAGTCATTTTTGATATGTCATCCTCAGAAACTCTGTTAATAAAACGACAACTCGAAAGCCCCAAAGCAATATCAGCTGCCCATCTAAAAGATGATTTGCAACCGGCTAGTTAACCACCGGGCTCCACTGGCCCTGGGCTGCCAGCTCACAGCGCTTGTGTATTAACGATCCTGAAATGCTGCCAGATCATGGAGTGGCTTTTTGGGAGAACGGATACTCTGCTTGCAGTGAAAACCCTGACGCAGATGTATTTAGGGTGAAGCAGGTAGAGATGGGACAAAAGGATCCAGATTGGCATCTCTGGGTCCTACAGCTCTGCCCGCCTGGCACCTAAATTCCTAAAACATCCCTAAAACAAGAAGGGGCAGCTTGGTCTTTGCTTCAGGAGACTGTCAAGCAACAAAGCACAGGAAAAAAAAAAAGAGTTCAAGACGCCTGGGTAATATAAGGTACTGGGGCTGTTTAGCAAAAGGAAAATGTGAAAACAGCTTTTTGTCTTGCGCTTCCTCCTTGGCAGCCTCCCCGGCCGCTGCAGGCTGTGATGTGGTCTGGGGCCGACGGCATGGTGCTAGCCAGGAGCACCACGGGTAGCAAGAATGGGAGGCTTTTCTTCTTCTTCTTCTTGTGTTGATTTGTTTTCTTCTTGAATAAAAATAGAGAAAAAAAAATGTGGAATGGCGAGGATGCTCTTCATATGCTTTCACAGAGTACATTTCGCAAGCGCGGGGAGGAGGAAGTAGGTTTGACAGCAGCCTGGGTGATGGATGTGATCCTCTCCTAGATGCCACAGGCGAGGGACAGCACAAATAATCCCAAATGAGCCAGGAACCTGCTGGGGCTTGGTGGATTGGAAACATCCAAAGGATATTTCTGCGTCCAGATGATGGGGTTGCTCAAAAGCTAATCCTTGTTGGACCGAATCAGGGTCTCAGCTCGGGTCCTTGCAAATGGCCACTCAGACAGCAACGCTGATGTCCCAGCAATGTCCCCCAGCAGCTGGTCCATCTGGGTTTAAAACTGGAGTTTGTCTTCTGGGTTAAGAACTAATTATGGGAGAGAAAATAAAAGGTGGAAAGGAAAGGTCTGGAATATGTGGTGCTCAGGGTGTTTGCAAATGGGATTGAAGAGGAGAGGACGAGAGGGATGACAGTTTGCTGCTGGTACTAAATCATTCAGGGCAAACAGCATAATTTGCCAGGGAAGAACTGCAAAAGATCTCCTGACATTGAATGCCTGCGTCGTAAAATTATGGATGAAATTCAATAGCAATAATGCAAAATAATTCACATGGGGGGAAACGAGCCTAAAATAAATAGCAAAATCGCCGCAGTGCTGGAGGACTCGGAGTTGTTGTCACATGCTTGTTGGGCCACAGTTAGGAAGGCAGGAGCACACTGCAGCCCCGGCTAATGGGGAGGAACTGGACTCTCAAGCGTGACGGCTCAGGGCTGCCAGCGTTTGTGGGTGCCGTGATTCCAACAGCACAGGCAGGAATGGGGTCCTCCCAGAGCACACAGAACCCCTTGCCTGCTGTCAGCCTCTCTTTCTAAAATGGATTAGTGTATTCAGCATCCCCATAACACACTCCGCAGGCCAAAGTTGTTTAATAAAGTCTTTATATGTTTTTGTATTTCTAATTCTGATCCACTCTCTGCATTGCAGGGTCTCTCGGTGCCTCTTGGAGACACATCGTGCTGAGGCAGAATCTAGACTGGCTGGATTTCTGTTTTGCAAGCCCGACGACTGCCAGAAAATAGAAGCACTTGTTTAAAATGATAAGTCTTTCCTCAGCTTAGAAACAGCTAGAGTGACAGGCTGGGCCAGCCCAAGTCTCCCTGCACTCCACCAACACAAGCTGGCAAGATGTCTAACAACGTGACCTGTCACTTTAGGCCCCATCTGCTTCTGTCACTGATCCTGGGAAAAGGTTGACCAAGTGCTGATGGAATAAGCTGGTCTTGTCCTTCTGGCTTGGAGGGGGGCCGTGTAACCCCTTCCATTTAACCCTTTCCCTGCCATGTCCCTTGAATCCCATGGAAGCTGCTGTTCTCTGGGCTGGCCATTACTTTTTATCATTGCCTTGGTGCTGCCCTGTCTGTTGTAGCTGACTGTTGTCTGAAGCTACACATAACTGTTACTGTGTAAGTATGAAGAAAGTATGTTCTTTATCTGGGGCTGGAACAGGGCCTGATCAGCACAGAGAAATCACCGGGCAAAGGGAGATCTCCTGAGCTCAGCTGTGATCTGAGATATATCTAATTGGTTTATTACCACTGGAAACTAGAGTTTCAAAAACACAGCTTTATAGGAATCATCAAAATCCAACCTGCCGAGCTTTAGGGACATCACCTCCCCTCACCACTCTATAGCTCCAAGCCTCAGATCCAAAGTGGTTCATGTCAAAAGGCATGAGCAGACGTGGCTTCTAGCTAATGCAGCCGGAGGCCAGGTCGCCCTCCTTCTCATCTAGATGTGCACACGTTGCCTCAGCTGAGCCAGGTGACAACTGCCATGAGGACCTCTAGGGAACAGGTCTTCACTAGTGGCTTGGCTGGCTGGCAGAGAGGAGGTTTTTGGCAGTCAAGGAAGTGCTCAGGAGTGGCGAGAAAGGAGCTCACAGGCTTTCAGGGCATCCTTAGACTCTGAGGAGGATGGGAAGCTGAAGCTGAACGTGGGCAGCTACCAGATGCTTGGCTGCCGTCCCGGAGAAGGTGCCGCACAGGTCTCCCGGCGTTCCTGGGTGTGTTTGGCAGCTCTGGTGAAGTGTTGTTTTGCTTTGCAGTCATTGCTGACCCTGTTTGCTGCAGGCATTCCTACTTATCTGTGCAAGCTCCCAAATAGGAAAATATCACATGCCTCCGCGTGTGTAAAGAGGAAGGTATTTGCACCGAAGTATTTGAAATATGTCTCAGAGATCAACAAGGTTCAGCCAACTCATTCAGTAGGTTATGGCCAGGCCCTGCGGGAGCTGGGTCTTGCAGAGCGAAGGAAGCCAAAAAGTTTCAGGATGACAAGCCCCACACTATTAATAAATATTCTCCTCCAGTGCGCTGTTGCGATACCAGTTCCTACCCTATCCCCATGGTCCTTCCCGTGCCATCAAAGGCATTCTGCAACTCCACCATGTGCCGGGCACTTACTTTCTCCTTGTTATCCATGGTGATGGCGATCTGCATCCGTCTGCCCCGCCGGAAAGCCACCAAGTGATTCGTCTCTTCTTCGCTCAGCTCTGGCACCCTGCCCGGGCCGGTGAAGCACTCGGCGCGTTTCTCACTCACTATCCGCTTGCCCTGCAAAGGACAGGATGAGCTTAATGGCACCTCCACTAGCCTTCTGCAATATACAGGATATAGCCTATGCAGTACCCTCCCTAGGACAGCGGCCAGCAAATTGCAGAGGATTTTGGACTGGTAGAAGAAAAATACTGGCCAGATAGTCAGGCTTCTGGACTGGTAAAGCTGCCACCCTCGATAATTTAAGGTCGATACAAAAATTCCGTAGACACGTTTGATTTTTGTTTTGGCTAGGCGAGCAAGCCACCTAGAATTCGTGCCTTTTGGCACCAGTATGATGGTGTGCTCTCCCCAGGCTGTGTGTACCAATAAAAGATAAGGCTACATTGGAGCCCAGTGGGTGAAAGAGAAGGGAAGGGCCTCGCACACGCACTGTTTTCCACCCTGAAGTGTATTAATCCTTGATAATTTACGGTCTTCATAAGCATCGTGCGTCATATTTCTGGAACGATTCATTCGGCAGTAGAATAGTTTAGAAAGCTGATACATAAACTCCTTGAAGAAGGGCCATTTACCACTGTCAGATATGATTTCTAGCCGTCTGTATCAGCTTGTGTCTTTACTGCACCCATTTCCATCTGGTTCCTATTTTGCTAAATATCTTTGTAGCTGTCTGAGCTCCTGCCCTCAGTCATCAGTTCCACAAAGGAGTAGAACTTTTGCACAAAGATACTTGCTTTTTTCTCATTTAAAGTTAGCATCTAGTTCCATCACAAGCCTTTTCGTTCTTGCCTTGCAGGGAGATGAGAGACTTAATAAAAGATCTTGATCTTTTTTCTGATCCTGTCTCTTCATCTGCATGTGACTCCTCAGCTCATCTTTATCAGGGATGAGCAGAGAGGATGGTACATTTTCTTCTGTTTTTCTCCCTGGTCTTCCACACATATCAGATTGGCAAAGGAGCTCAAAAATCTCAAAGTAACCTTTGGGGAAAATAGGGAACTCTTCATAGCCATGAGCTTGGCTGCAAAAACAAACACCCGCTTCGATGAATTCAGATTTGTGTAGAAATCCTGCAAGCATCAGTAAATTTGCGTGACATATGACATCAAGATGCCTTCCTTTAGCCTCATCTCCACAGGGCTCTGCCAGAAGTGCAGATGTTAGCACAGAGGGAGCCTCGGTGTAGACAGCCTCCGTCAGCAAGACTTTTTTTATCGCTCGTCCAGTCATCGAGCTTCCTAACACATGATAAATGTTTTAGGAGGTAGTGGACTATTTCCAGCATCAGACCTACAGTCTCTTGTTTATTCTGGTTTCACATCTGTCTTATTTTGCTGTATCAGCAGAGGTTGTTCTGGGGTTACTGCAATGCATGAGAGTGGAGCAGTGGGTCCCTGCACTGCTGTTGGTTCTGGCAGCCAGATCTACATGGACACGGTGGGATTTCATTTTATTTTTTAATAAATTCCCTCGGGTAGGTACAGCTCTGATTTCACTTTCCGGCTGTAGCTTCTAATAAGTTTCTCTGCCCTTAGTAGGACCTTTGCTCTTTCTGTTGTTCTTGACATAAGTGAAGCCACGTGTCACATTCAAAGTAAGGATTTGCTGCCAAGCCATTGAATGCCATTCTAGCACTTTCTGTGTATTTCTTTCTGTTTGTATCAATGCAGCCTCCTACTTTGAGTGCTGCCATGGAACGATCAGACAGCTCCTGTGAGCCATCCCCAGAGACATCAAGATTCTTTCCCTGAGAGCATAAAAGTTGATAGTCAAGAGAAAAAGCAGACACCTTAATATGAAGTAAATCTTCTGGCTTCACAACAGCCAGATATTTAGCTGCACTTTTACGGGATATGTGTTCTGGAGAAGTCCCCATACTAATAAACTCAGAAGAACATGTTTTGGCTTGTTCGGGGAGCTAAAAGAGAAAATCCCACAGGAAGCCATCCTGAAAGGCAAAGGAGCCCAGGACTTTGTTATCCTCATGGACAGCCTCCTCCAAGCACAAGAACGGTTCTTACTGATATACAAGAAAAGAGCAGGGGCAGAAGAAGGCCAGCTTGGCTGAGCAAGCAGATCCTGGCTGAACTCAGCTGCAAAAAGGATGCTGGAAATGGACAGGCCACCAAGGAAGAATGTGGAAGCATCACCTGGGTGGTGTGTGGAGGTGGAGATAGGAAAGCCAGAGCTCAGCTGGAGGTGAAACTGGAGGTGAGAGATGTAAAGGCCAGCAAGGACTTGTATAGGTACAACAGCAGCAGCAAAAGCAGACCAAGGACCAGCCGGGCTGCACCTAAGGTTGCTGAGGATGCTGGCTGACATCGCTTTGAGGCTCCTCTCTATTTCTGGAATGATTCAGAGGCTGAAAATATGTGCTGACTTTACTTGCGAACCACTGAATCACTAGACCCTGGTAGCTACTTGGCGCTAAACCTGTGCCTCACCTTTGTTCCTGAATGCTTATTATTCCCAGGATACGTCTTTGCTTCAGGATAATCCTGAACTTCCTGGGATATTCAAGGTAACACAGTCTGGCTTCTTTAAATCCTGGCATGCAGGATTTGTGCTGTGCTGGTGATGCTAATTAATGAATCGCAGAGTTGGGTTGCCCTGTCCTACACAAATAACTAATACAAGGTGGTTGTCATCTTTGCTAACTCTTTTTCTTATTATTTTTCTTATTATTAAGAAAGTAAATCCAGTGATGGCTTAGCAGGATAATAGCAGGCTATTAACCCATAAATTCTACACCAGATATTAAGTCTAGTTTAAGACAATAGCTGCTCCCTGGAGCTCCTCACTGTGTTTAGGCAGTGACTTTTAGACAAATAACGTCACCACAAATGACTCTTGCCAGGGAGGCCCAGTGCTGGGAGGGTATATTTGGAAGATGGCTTCATTGCTCACTGTCTGAGAAAGTCCTTCCTGAGGAAAAAAGTGGGCTCTGAGAGCCAGCAGCAGCAAAGCTGCTCCCTGCAGAAAGCCAAGGATGCCTGAAAACCAACGTGCAGGACTTCCATGTCCTCCGATGCAGGACTCCAGCTGCTTCAAACAAGACTAAAGCCCCAAAGTGTGGTACTGGATTTATGTCTAGGGACATTAGCCAGTGAAAACCCTAGTAGGAAGCCTGAGTTTATTGGCAAGGCAAACAAACCCTGCAGTTTATTGGGCAAAGAAGACTGAAAGGTTGACCCAGGAAATATCTGTTTGGTAGAGTCATGGTAATCAGGCAGATACAAGACTGGGCACCCACCAGATTTCCCAGGGAATGCCCTCTCCTGCACACTCCCCATATTGCTTCTGGCTAAGACAAGTCCCCTGAAGGCACGTTCTGCTTAATCTGCCCACAGAGGTCTTTTTTTTGCTCCTAAAATATTTTAAGGATATCAATTTCTTAGCTCGCCCGTCGCCCTTCCTTTGCAGCAGCTCAAGTTGAGGCTTGCCTGGCTTATTTCCGAGGCTGCAAATGTAGTGTGAAAATACCCACCTGAGAAACAGTGTCACACTGTGTGTGGTGGGAAATATGTGGGGGACAAACACCCTGTGGAAAGGTCTCCACAGGGCCCTGCCTGTCTGTGAGAACCATTTGTGTTGCAAACGCAATCGCTTCAAGTGCAACTCCACCTTACAGAGCTATGTGGTGAGGAGAAGAGCAGAGGGGTCCCAAGGGAACCCGATTTGCTGTCACAGGTTCCAGCTTTCTGTCCCTTCACATGGGCACCATCTGCACAAGGGGACTGTGCTCCTCTGCGTGCTGTGGCTCCGGTTGTCTAGCCAGTGTCTTCCTAGTATTAATCAATTACTGCAATTATTGCCTCTTGCATTTGGATTAAATGGCAAAATAACTCCTGTCATGCAGACATTGACGTTAGAACTCTTTGCTCCTTACAGCTAGATGCACAGACTCTGTGAGGGATTAGATGCACAGACTCCATGAGGGATGCTCTGGGATTTTAGAAATGAAGAAATAGCTTTTTTTTTCAGTTACTTCTGCCCTTTCTTGCGTTTTATTTTTTTTTAATTACGCCTGAATATAATGAGTATATTCTGGCATCTGTTGCTCAACCTGTTGTCTTCTGTAGTATATATCCATGGCATTCCCGTCTCTGTATTGTGCTTTGGACTGAATAGAGCAATTCTGGTGCCTCGCCGGGGAGAAATGACACTGTTTTTACAAGCCAACCATAACTGCCTCTCTGGGAATAGCTGGGGAGTAATGCAGCTAAATCTGTCTGAGCTCCTACTTATTTCCTTCCCCTTCCTGGGCTCATAGATGTAGTTTTATAAAGCCACTGATGGTCCGAGGGGACAACGAGGTAACTGATCTTACAGAAAGGGAACTGGCTCTGCGTGGTGGGGTGGAGCTGCTGGCAGGCACAGGAAGGCCTGGAGGCCAGTTCCTATGAACGAGATACAGACAGGAAAACGCAGCCTGAGATGGAGCCCGGGGATACAGGAAAGCATCATGAAACCAGAGAGAAACGAAGTGGAGACAGCTCCTGAGGACAGACCCACCTTGGCTTTGTTGTCCATGGTAACAGCCAGCTGCATCCTCTTGCCCATTCTGAACGTGAACATATGGTCTGCTTCCTCCTCCTCTTCCTCGCTGCCAACGTCCAAGCCAGGGCTCGTAGAACAGGGGCTCCCCCATTTCTCACTCACCACCCTTTTGTCCTGGGAAACGAAGGCTGCACGTTAGCAAATCCTGGCCCCTGGGCTCCTTTCCCTTCCCCAGAAACCCCTGAGCATGAGCAGGGGAGGGCAGCTAGGGAAAGGGCAGGCCTGGCCTGGAGGAAACTCTCTGCACACGGCGCCCTGACGTTCCTGCAGAACAAGGGGCCCTTTGTCTGCCCAGCAGCGAAAGCCGCTGTGACAGTGGCTCCGGAAAATCCTCTGCGCTTAACAAATCTGACATTTCAGGCTAAAATGCTGGGGTTTGGGGAAACACATGTCGGCGCTGACTCTTTGCCGCGGCACTCTGAGCTAGCACGGGAGAGCCTAAGTCCTGGTGGAGATGGCCTGGGAAGCCGAGGAGGTGGCTCCTGAGGGTCGTGCTCACCATCAAGAGGGCTGGGCTATCTTGTCCATAGTGTTCAGTCTGGGTAATTGCATCTTTCAGGTCCTGCATGAGAGAAAAATGTGTGCCACGCCGCACCTCTGGAGAAAAGCAAGGGCGCTCCGTGCCCGGGGAATGGGCACTGCACTAGCTGGGGTTGAAGAGTCTGCAGGGTGGAAGAAGGGGGAGCTGGCCCTGCTGGCCCTGCAGTGACTTCACCCAGGGGTTAGAACAGGACTGGTCTGGGGATTTAGCAGGACTTGCAAGTGTATCCAGTGCTTTACGGGCTGCTTGCTCCACTCATTCACAGAACATAGGGAGACCCGGACTTTGCCTGGCCTCCAGGCACCCCAAAATCACTCTTGATGCCTCCAATGGCTAAGATACAGTTGATGTTTGCACCTGGCGCTCATCCAGAGCCACAGAAGCCTGGGCACACATCCATTTACCTGCCTGTTCACACTATGTGCCTGGGGCACGGGTGGAAATCTGCTTGTGTGGATCAGCTAACATCAGTTGGGCCACGCATTGCTCTTACATCCCACTGGGAGGGCTTGGGAGATATGTCCAAGGCCAAAAAAAACTTTGCTGTGGGGGCTAGCTGCACCAGAGATGCCATTTTGAACTTGCTGGCGTAGGGTTCAAGTGAGAGGTGTCCGGCAGTGAAGGGGAGGCAGCACTTACGTTGTGAGCCTTGGTGATGGTAATAGTGAGCCCATCTTGCTTGGGTCTCCTGGAGGTAACAGCCATTCCCTCCTGCTCGGCTCGTTTTTTATCCTCCTCTATTTCCTGAAACAGATATGTCCATATCATCAGGTCATAGGAGGAACAGCTGAAGGGGCTGGGTGTAAATTCAGTCACCTTGGGAAGAGGCAGCCCCTGGACTTTGTAGGCATGTAGGCATGGACAAACACATGCCCCAGTGCCAACAGCAGAAGCCACCAAAACACAGACCGGTGAACTTGGGTGCTCAGTGAGTCCTTGGCTACCTACAGACATTGTCCACACTCCTGTTTCACATTTGTCCTGGATGATTCATGGAGCCACCTCCTTGCCTGAAAAGCAGCACAATAACTTGTGCTCAGGCACCGTGCCCTGCAAGAGGTTGTGTTCCCAGGCTGCTGTGACCTGCCTTGCTCATCCCTGCATCACAGGTGTCTTAGCACCTCTCCTCTTCACTCCAGGTACTGCTATCTCAGCATACGCAGTGGGAAGTAAGCAAAGAGTATGGAGCTCCTTTCCTGAGGGACAAGGGGGACGACAGATTCAAGGTTTGGGAAAGACTGGGATGGTGCATGTGGAGAGGCTGGGAAAGACATCGGGCCTGCAGAAAGGGACTTCAGACTGCCTGCCCAGTGGGCAAACGTCGGACAGGCCTCGGGTGGGCGTATTTCAGACAGGTCAAGGGACCTTCTGCTACGATCCGCTTCCAGGGATCCTACCAAGCTCTCTGTGCTGCCCTGTGTGGACCTTCATGAAGAAGGGCAGATGAGCTCCCAGAGAGTTCCAAGTTACCATCATGTTTCCCAAAATAGCCTGTTCAAGCCAGGCCAGCTTCTCCTATGGGCCTTTAGGTAGACTCACTTGGCCAAAGTAGATTAATTCATGGCCAAAAAAAAAAAGGTGAGATATAGTTGGAGTGCTTCTTCCTAAATCAGAGGACAAGGCTGAAGTAAGCAGGGCAGCTAAAGCCTTGGCTTGCCTTTGGCATCCTTTGGACCTGGAATTCCCTTTAGGATCCCTCTGTGCTCCACGGAAACACCAACACTCCAAGTATTTTCCTGCCCAGTAATGTCACTTAGAGAACATGCTCCTACACTGCTGACCAGTTTCTTCACACCGATGCCTCTCGGACAGGACTAAGGCAGGTGAGAGCCAGGCAGGCTTACCTGGTACCTTCGTATGAGCGCTTCATTCTTTTTCCGCAAAGCAAGGATTTTCTTATCAAGCTCAACATCTTTCTGCTCCTTCTTCCTTAGCACAGCATCATCCACAGCAGCATCCTGGGAGCGGGAGGAGGAAAGGCCTTCTCAATCATGGTCTACTGCCAACAAGACACAAGCCTGCTCCTTCTGCTCGCACCAGCAATGTAGAGGGTAAAAAAAAATTTCCCTATGATTTCTCCTCCCTGGACCTCTATAACACAGACACTGACTCTTGCAAATTGAATTCTTCCTGACAAAACTGAGCTGTTTTGACAATTTTTGTTCAGCAGTGAGGTAGTTAGAGTGGAAAAAAACAGTGGTCAACCTTGTTGGCCATCATGCTGACAGAACTCATGTGTGGGGACACGGCCCCTTGATGTCTTGTGCCTCATGCAGTGGAGCTGTTATTATTTCCCCGGGACAGGAAGCGCACAGAATAATCCAACCCATTTCTAAGAGCAGTATTTAAAATAAATAGTCTCTTCGGCAGGAGACGGGCTGCAGTTTCGTCCTATATTTGCAGGGCACTTAGTGCAAGAGGCCGACCTTCACCTGGGCAGGATCTGCCTGTCGAGGACTAAATGGGCAGCCTGGGTGTCTGCCAAGCACTGAGGGTGCGGGCGGCTGGAGGGCGGCACCCAGGTGCGGTGTGTCCTGCACCACGGCCCTTTCATCCTCATGTCCCTTTGAAGCTTAAAAAAAATGTCTTAATAACTTAAAAAAAAAAAAAAAAAGAGATGTCCTGCCCCTGAACCAGAGGTCTTACCATGGCCGTCTGGAAACAACCCACTGCAAGGGAAGTTTTGCAGCTCCTCCCCTTCGGTAGCGAAGCCGTTAATGTGTGATTGCCTCTGCCGCTTCGCCCCTCCTTGGCCGCCTGTGCCGGAGCCGAGGCCGATGCCTGACGATGCCAAGCGGCCCCGCGACGCCCTCCCCGGTGTAAAGCTCTTCCGGGGAGGCCAAGGCGCCCGTATGTCCCGGTGACAGGGGCAGGCGGTTATAAATGGCTCTGGCAGCCGGCTGCGAATCGGCCCCCCCTCCGCCACTGCCAGGCCACTGGGAAAGTGGCCCCTGGGGACCCCGGCGCCAGACGCCTCTCCCCAGGATGAGCCGGAATGGGGGAATGAGCCGCTGTCAGGGTGCACACAGATGGCAGGGGTTCAGCCTGTCCTTCCCCCCTGCCCCAGTCGGGGGATCCCTTGGGATCCTTTCCACAAGGAGAGGGTTTTTCCCATCCTCCTGCCACAGTCTGTACCTCTGGTGCAAGCGCTGGGAACGCGGCGAAGAGGAGGGCGGTGGAGGCGGTGGGGGGGCCTCGGCGGCACGAGAAACGCAGCAGAAACACCCCCTAAAGAGCCCCTGGCACCGCAGCGGCAGTGCAAAGCCCTGGCAGCAGAGGTAATTCGCAGCCTTCCTCGCTCATCATCCTCTCCCCCCCCCCACCTCCCCCCGTTCGCCGC